ACTCAGATGAGGTGGGGGCAGTCGACTCAGATGAGGTGGGGGTAGTTGACTCGGATGAGGTCGCAGTCGTATCAGGCCGTGCGGTGGTGGTGGTTTTGACTATACAGTTGATGTCGTCGACAGCTCTAACGATTCCGTCCGAAACGTTTTGGGCAGACGAGTTTGTGAGCTGTACGGAGTAGTCACCTTGGCTGGGGTCCCACTTGTTAGAGCGGAAGAAATTATCCCACCACTGGCAAACCGTGTCCGATGTGCACAACACCACCGTATGGATATTGTTCTCCTTGAGTCCGTTCAGTATGATGCGGGGCTTGAAGTATTGGTACTGTGTGTCGCACGGGGTGTCCGCGGTAGCCGTCCATACGATGTTTCCTTCCAGAGCAGGGTTGGTGGGGTGGACGTCGTCGGTGGTCTGGGAGTCGTCGGTGGTCTGGGAGTCGTCGTCGTCATCCGGAGCTTTTGTTTCGTGGTATTTCCCGTAGTCGTCCGTCACAATGATGAGGATCTTGAGCTCATCCGCCGTGTAGGGCACAAATTGCCTATTCACGAGCTCTGGGATGAAGGACAGAGAGTCCTCCGGTCCATCGTCCCCCTCACTCGGTTTTTGAGGCCGGTCCCAAGCATCAAAAATATCACTCATCTTAGGATCCCACCAGCCCTCGCCGAATTCATGTGGTATGGCATAAACTGACGTGCATTGGTCTAGGCGGTCCATAAAGGTGCTGAAGCCATAATCGAAATCCTTAATATTGTTTCTCAGCACGTCCGCCCACTGCAAATACACTTCACGGTTTGCTCCAATGTCCGCAAACCCTGACTCTCTCCACCCCTGATGGACCCACAATCTCACAGGCACTCCCAAACACTCATACTCGTACCCAGCCGCAAGAGCCAATATCGTCGCCAACCTGAAATTCATCACTGAAGCAAGTAACACATTATTTCTGCATGCACACACATCGTATCGTGTTCCTTCATAAACGTACCAGCCAGAGGTACCACTCCCGTCCGGAAGGTGTATACACGGACAAGACTCCGTAAAGACGGGGCAGTGGTTGTCGTGGGTCTAGCAGAGTCCGGGTATCAGAGTCCCCTTTGATACGAATATAGGAACCGTGTGAATTAGGACGGTAGGGATGTACAAGACGTGTGTATGAGACTTGTGCAGCACGTTCACGGATGGCATAGTGTAATGGCCTGCATGAACCGAACCGCTCAGGCACAGCATCTAGAAAAAGAGATCTACGCGAATTGGTGTTCGTCAACACCGACCACTGCCTCTCGTTGGACGTCCTGGCCATCGCCTCCAGTCCCCTCTTCCTCAAGCTTCAGGCTCGCCCCGCATCTGTCGGAATGCCCCAACGCCACCTAGCAGGAGCGCCAGCCGAGGCGCTGCCGATCACCACTGCCTTGTTATCTTTGCCGGGAGCTGTAGTGAATGTGGTGGCTGTGGTGGCTGTGGTGGCTGTGGTGGCTGTAGTGACTGTGGTGGCTGTAGTGGCTGTAGTGACTGTAGTGGCTGTAGTGGCTGTAGTGACTGTGGGAACAGGTACAGCAGGCCGCAGGACATAAGTACTACATATGTCTGGAGACTGTAACCAAGGGTTCTTCAATGTGCCCTTGGAGGAGGGGAGTCAGCCTTTAACGGCATTCGTGTCGAAAAAGGGCACATTCCAGTACACCGTGGTTCCATTTGGTGTGAAGAACAGTCTAATCGTGTTCCAAAGGATCATGGACCAAATCTTCGCCGGGATCATCGGCAACGGCGTCAGTGTGTATATTGACGATATCGTCATATACGCAAACGACTTAGATGTGCTGTTCGAAGGACTGGAGCAAGTCCTCGACCGACGCTGCACAGCAGGACTGTACCTGAAGCTGAAGAAAGGCGAATCGTTGAACGACTGGGTGAAGATGTTAGGCTACCTGGTAAGCAGTGATGGCATCAGATTACATCCCAGCAAGGTGGAAGCAATCCGCCAAGTACCGGCTCCCAAGAACATTCAAGAGCTAGGATCGTTCCTAGGCGCAGCGACGTACTTAAAGAAGCACATTCCATCCTTCGCGCACCACACAGCCATACTCACCGACCTCCTAAAGAAAGGAAGGCTATACTCGTGGGACGAAAGTCACGAAGCCGCGTTCCAGGCCATCAAGCGAGCGATCATAGACGCAACCATGCTAAAAGCGCCGCAAGGCAAAGGCCGCTTCGTAATCACGACCGACGCCAGCGACAAAGCCACAGGAGCTATCCTAGAGCAAGAACAAGATGGCGAACGCGTCCCCGTAGAGTTCGGAAGTCGGAAGATACAGCCAGCAGAACAAAGGTGGGACACACGTGAACGAGAGTTGTACGCCATAAGATACTTCGTGGATAAATGGCACCACTACTTACGCGCTGCACCGTTCCTAGTCAGAACCGACCACCAGAACCTAAAATACCTATCGAAGGCAGACACCGGCAAGTTAGGTAGATGGTCACTGTTCCCGCTTTCCGGAGTCGACACGCGAGCTTAACTCGCGCGAGCAGCAGGCCTGGAAGGATAAGCTAGCGAAGTGCCGCCTCCCGCCGTTCACCGCCGTCACCGAAGAGGAATTTGAGCAGCGGGCGGATGACGTGGCGACGGCCGTCGGCGAGCAGTGCCACTACATCCACGACGAAACGTTAGTGGCTAGACTGTGGGCCTGGGTGCCAGCCACCGTCAGAGCGCGTTTGAGTGGGTGTAGGAGAGGCCCCAGGGTGGCGGTAGAGAGGTTTCTGTCGGCCGTAGCTAGGTCTCTGTACCCGGACAGCACTCTGCTGAGCCGGTGCTTCAGGTCCTGCGTCTACCCGGCGCCGGAAGAGGTGCCAGCCCTCCACGATTTGTTGCCGACACGACTGCACCGCCTGACGAGGCTGCAGGTCCGTTACGGCACAAGGATCACGATTCCGGGGATGTTGTTGCAACAGTCCAATCTGAGCACGGCGGCAGACGACAGGTGGGCGAAGGAGTTCCACTTCGAGCGCAGGAAGGGCGATGGGGCAGTGATAGAGGCCCT